CCGCCCAGGAGCGCCCGGTCGGCCTTCTGGAGACCGATCTCGACGAGGCGGTGATCAACACGAGCTACAACGGCACGACGTATACCGTTGGTCCGACCGCTGTCTCCGCTGCCGCCGCAGCTACCGCCGCCACCGCCGCCGCCGCTGCCACCGCCGCCGCCGCCGCTGCCGCCGCCGGCGCCGGTGGTAAGAAGACCCGCAGCCTGCTCGACCTCAACCACACCTCGGCGGCGGCGCCGCGGCCGCGGCCCGAGCACGCCCTCCACGTACCCCAGTCGCCCGTCGGCGCTACGCACAGGAACCCCCGCGACGACGTCGCGTCCGCTGCAACGTCCGCCATCCACCAACGGCCCCACAAGTCCATGGAGTTCCTCCTCGACAAGGAAAACCTGCACTTCGTCAAGGTGAGTGAAGTCTCGCTGGCGCAGTCTTTATCTCATTGGGGTTTATCGTTTGGTATCTCCGACGTAGTATCGTACGACGAACCGATGCCATGTGAACCAGCCGTGCGTCGAGTCGCGAGAATTCCAGATCGACCTCGATGTCCGTTGACGATAGTCGCGTCAACGAGATGCTCCGATTTCATTGCGAGATCGATTGTGTGCCAGGCTGGGAAGTTGACTGGAATGCACCTATATTAGATCCCGACGAGCGGAACCTCTGTTCCGTGATAAATCGAGTCATGCTTGTGTTGCGAAATCGGTCGCGCATGATATTGGGAAAGGGGACGTTCTGAGTATCAATAGAAGAAGTATCTGCTAGTATTTTATTCGTTTTGATAATGACATCATCGTGAAATTGCAAATGGTTGCGATAGTCCAATTTTTTCTTAAGCTGATGATAATTGAGACAATAGATTGATGAGCTTTGCGCTTTACAAAGACGTGTCGAAAGATCGTTTGGAGTTCTGTGCAACTAAATTTCGAACATTTCGTGTGCATCACACGAAGATTAATTGGGAATGTTCCAACGCAAACGTAGACTATCTGTCACTAATTAACACGGTTTTGATCGATACGTTAATTAACCAACGCTACGTATTCTTCGCGCTATCGTCGTGTCAGAAATTAGCATTCGTTTAATTAACGCCGTATTGCAGGATTATCGTCGTCATTCGATGATCTAGTCAACATGTCTGATATAAATTTTCTTCGCAGACAATTTAAATAAAAATATTTATTACGCATATACTTAATGCGCTTACACGTGGTGTTACTATCTTGATTAATTTTTAGATTAGAATTCCTTTTAAAAAAGCTAAATTAGAGAAAAATTTCTTTTCAATCAGTAAAATGTAAATCAGTTTTCACAAATTCCTTTTAACGAAAACAGAATAATTTTTTAGCTGTTTAAATTAACAAGAATAATAGGATCGCGTATGTTTCGAGGCTGCTCCAATCTGAGTTTGAATGCATTTTGTCTGCCGTCTTCATTTATATTTTGAAACCTACGTGAGATGCCTTCGCAGATAAATTGATGTAACCGCGTTCTGAAAGCCACCGCTTTTAATCGCGCCGACAGAACATCACCGCCAAGGATGTTCCGACTATATCGACAGGCTGGCTAAATTAGGTTTCGCCGGATGAACTGCTTTTAGCGAGCGACGAATCTCGCCGATACACCTTCGATTCTACTTCCTCTCTCGGCTTGTCGCCTAGGTATATCACAGGGAGGATCGATAGAGGCTCCTTCCGCGACAAGGTGCGACGACGAGTGTCGTAGAATCTTTCTTCCGCATTGGCGTAGTTTCACGTGGACTTCTTCCGGACTTCTCTCCAAAAGCGATTTCATCATAGAAATTCATCCTATCGGTTATCTTCTTCGAAATCCTAATCTATTGAGAAAGAATTCTCTGTGATTTTCTTTTACGACAAAGCTCGGCAAAGCTTTATAACTTTTTTAAGAATTGAAAAGATGTCAATTTTTTTACATCTTTTTACATTGTGAATTATTACTTGGATATTACTAGACAACACGGTCTTTAAACTTTTACGTTGCGTGCTTCTCACAAGGCCACAACTATCATGAACAACCGTCATAACTCTTGTCGGCCGGAGTATCTTTCTCCGTTTGTCCTGCTTTCTCCCGGGTGTATTTCTCACAATGGTAGCTCTCGTAACGTTCATCCTGAAAGATAAAGACATCAATCACACTGCGCACGTTGATATAATTATCGCTGATCTCGAACGTGACCGACTCAATTGAGAGAATCGATTTTCCGTTTTGTCACCAACCGTCACGATGGACGAACTTTAGTGTTACGCTAAATATATGATCGACTGCTCCTTTCGAAAGATCATTCGATGTTAGCTTGAGTGAAATTATAAAAATGATCTCGGATCGATTTGATCAAGCGTAAGAGGAAGATTTTAATAAGGGTCGGCGGACCTTGGCTCGATAATCGGCATCGTGAGAGTCGCGTCGACCATTTGTTCCATATGAACCTCTTAAACGGACATACGCAAAGCAAAGACCGTTGACCTTATGATTCGGTTCACGCCCTTCCTTTTCAGCCGTGCACACGTTCCGATCGACTTGATTAAACCCTAGATAGTCTGCTATACGCTTGTACAGCCAGGCTATTAGCCGCTATTATGGTTTCAACATCTGTTCTACTCTTCAAAGAAACTGCGAATGTCGACGAACGGTTCTTGTCGGACACATGAGAATGAAAATCTCGAAAAGAAGAGCGTGGGAAAGAATAAGCGAAATTAGGATTCTTTCGAGACTCCCTCGAATTTAACGGTAGCATGGTACAAAAATTATATCTGTGGTGTACAGAAAATTTCTAATGCGACCTCTTTCATCGAGTAATTTCTCGCGTGCTTCTCAAAGAACCGGAAAATTATACAACCGCACGCGTGCACGGTTTCCGTTTTTAATCAGCAAACTTACACATCGGATATCGCTGAGGTGTTCCTTCACCTGGCACTTACTTGGTGTTCCAGCACCCGGTAAGTTTCTCTCTTTCAATTATGCTAAAAATCAAGCTCCTCTTATCTTATTTTATCTTATTCGATCATTGTCAGCCTTATGTTTCTTTCCTTTATGCGTTTTTTTCTCTTCTCGTTCTCTTCTACGAAATCTTCTCTGGCTTTACTTATTACGTAATGGGAAAAAAGGAAGGGCAAATGTCTTTCAAGGAAGGAATTTGGAGTGTAGTAGGGAAAAGGGGGAGTAAAATCTCGCGACAGGTTGATAACCCTTATGTGCATTCTTCCAAAGTTGGGAGGAAAAACTCGACACAAAGTGCCTCAAAGACGACTATGCCGAAGAAGAAGAAGAAGAAGTGAAGCGATGTGGAAGCATCGCTTTGATCGCCGCCCGAAAATATCTTTGAGGACTATGTGTAGAATGGCGGGCGATCGAAGTCGCCAATTTAACGGATCAAGCGCGTGGAAATAACATTTCTAGAAACGTGGTTTTAGGCCGAGCGATACACGATATTGACCACTTGAGGAACCTTCGAGTATTGTTGCGGGATAATCGATAGCCGTTCGGATAAAAATATCATGTTAGTGCATCGTTGCGATCTTTATTGCTGGAAAATAGCAATGAAGACCTAACATAAAGGAAGCTGGATTGCCGTAATTCCATCATCATTTTAATTATCTTTAAGTCACTCGATAATAATCTTTTCTAGAAAGAATTATTTTTACGTCGTTATCTTTGGTTTAATTTCGGAGAATTCTTTCAAGCTCTCATTTCAAGCTACATATATAAGAACACCGATAGAAGAACATTTTTCAACATTTATTTAATTTTTATAAATATTATTTTTATTACATTATTATTATTATGTTTATTATATTCATTCATTTGTAATGTTATGGACGATTCTGAATAAGAATTTAGAAATATTCTGAATTTAGAAATATTCATATAAGAAGATATAAATAGCTCAAAAGGAGAGATCACTTTTCACATTTATAGAAGGATCTCAGTAGTCTCGCGACTGATATGATACACGCGCTGCTAATTTCTGACGCTTTAGAGGGCAAGGTGGATCAGCGTGGAAATCCTGAACACGGTCACGCGACTTTCTGGGCTGCGCATTGTGCAAATATCGGTCCAGCATGTCCACGGCTTTAACAATGCCTCCCCTTCTTTCCCCATCCTCCCGCGCCCTTCAGCTTCCTCCTCTCATCTCGCTTCCACCAGCATAGTGTATTGATCGACCAACACCAACGGCAGCGACTCGTCCCACCGCACGCGTGTATGTGTGCGCGCGCGCGCGCACACGCGCGCGTGCTTTGTGTACGTGCGTTACGCTCCGCTCTGTGTCTCTCATGATACGCGCGCTTCCACAGACGAGCGTATAAACCGATCTCTCTCATTCCGCTTCATGCACTTCGCCTGGTGAATCCAACACTGCGACGCCTATCGCGCCTAAGCGCCTAGCGCGCGAATCTGTGCCACGTTGATTCCGCAGCCCGCAGAGGAGACTGTTTAATCTCTGTCTTGTTAAGAAACTAGAAAGAGAAGATTGAATTCTTTTACAAGAATTTCTCTCTACATGATCCGTGAGCCTATTTGGAAATTGCTATCTTTTTTTTGTTTTTTACGATTAGTTATTCGTATTGTTAAAATTATCATCGTGAACAAATAGCTTGTATTTTATGTGAATTTAGGAATTTTTGGAAAAGTTTCTGACAGACATTCTTAGTTAGAATTATATATTTAAGTAATATTAAAGTTATTATTACATTATGTAAAATATTATGTAATCGAATTTAAAACTGGTGCATCGTAGAAGCAGCATTCTAAAATTATTACTATTCGTATTTTAAGTTTCTTAAATGTCGTAACGCTGCATAGATCGGTGAAGATAAAGAATCACCTTGCAATTATCGATGCGCGATTTCGCGGATGACGTTGAGTTGCGGATATTCGCATTGCGCGAAGTATTAATCATCATCAATAATTTCAAGCAAAACGAGCTATAGCGAAACAAGAGTCAAAAGTCACGAGAGCTTTTTTTCTTCCTGATACTGGCCGTGACATTTGCTCGTCTGTTGTAAACGTCCGTGGCGGCAATGTAAATTCCCGATTAACATTTATCGTCAGATCGTCGCACTCTCGCGCAAAAAAATTGCTGTTTGTCGACACGTGAACGAAGGCAAATTTAATTACGCGTCACGCGAGAAGAATCCCGCCGGAAAACTGTCGAACGTGTAAACGCGTTACCGCTCATCCGCGTTTGATAACTTGATTGTTCCAATAATTTCGAAAGCCACGACGTGTATCGTTCCGCGATGTAATGAATGTCGCGCGTTAGCGCGGATATCCCTTTTAACAGAATTGTTCATAAATTCGCGCAATTCCGCACAATCGTAGCGCCATTAAATTCCATCGTTGTGCCGTTTCAGTCACGAAACCGCGTAAATTCGAGCGATTCCAGCGG